GGCACATGATGAAGTGGCGTTCAGGCGTTAGTGGGAGGCCAAGGAAGGACCTGGCCGAGCAGCACATGGCCCTTGCGCTGGCGGCGGAGAGTTCCTGCACCCGCCGGAACATCGAGATCGACCTCGACGGGGGCGAACACCATCAAGGCTGGGCAGGCCAGACCATAGAGGCCCCCATCGCACTCACGAGGGCGATAGGCTGGCAGGCAGAATTCCGCGGGGTAAGTACCTGGGCCATCCTGCATGCACGAGTTGCTGACATGCTACACTTTCAAGAAAAGCTGAAGGGCCCCGCGGAGATCGAACGCGCTTGGCAAGTAGTAGGAGCCTGCCTTAGCACGGTCTGGTCACTGCACACTCACGAGAGAGAGGAGCGCGCCCTTCGGCTCGCCAGCAACATAGCCACTTTCCCGCAGATAGAACGAGAGGGAGCCAACAACTTTGCGTCGCACTGTCCAAAGCATAGAGCTCCATCTTCCGCGCAACACCTAGATGAGTCTTACAGAGTGGATTTGCACGCTCTGCCCAAGGGCGCCGGCGCGCCCCGCGCTGAGCTTGGACCAAGACACGGGGCGAGGAAACCCTTGATCTCGCCCATGGGAAGCGCCCCGGCGACAGCATCATTCGGGGCCCCATTGAGGCCAGTGGCCAGGAGGCCGATGCGTGGGGGCCCCGTCGGCGCTCTAGAGAGTTTGAAGGTCCCGAGGGCAGGCGGGGGATGTCGTTTTGGAGGCCAGTAGAGAGCCCCTAGAGGAATTCCCCATGCAACAGTATTTAATGACCCTCACGTCTTTTAAAGGTGTCGTAGGAGTCGGGGCTGATCAGCAGGGCCCGAATTGGTGGCGACGGCATCCCAAAGATGGTCTGGAAGACCCTCTCAACGTGCCCAGAAAAACCGAGGAAGCTGGATCCTGGCCACCTCAAGTCTTTCTCAACCTAGCCCAGCGATTTCGCAGAAGTCAGGTGGTCGATCGGCCCATCACCCTGACATAAGGATTATATCGGACGCGGGGGAGGGCTCGGAGGCGGGGGGGGCCCTGACTGGAACGCCCAGCGAACCCAGCACTGGGACAAGGCGGTGGGAGGCAGCCCTTCGCTCTTCGCTTCGCTCATCCGCCAGCGCGAGCTAGAGATGGCCACTGCCCAGGAATTTTCCCGGGCTGCGGGCGCTTGGGACGTTGACAAGTTCCATGGCCACGCTAAGCTTTTCCAGGTGGCCAATGTGGCCAAAGGGATCGGCTACCCCCTACCAGCGTTTACGCTCGGCTGGGCCATCCACCGAGGAACGAAGCTGATCTGCATTGATCGGCCCCTTCACCGCTGGCTGCAATCAAAGCGCGGATCTAGCCAAGCTTTCACTTTGGCAAGTGTTAGAGTCGATGCACGCCGCCTACAGGCCCCTTGATTTCTCCACGTGCCTGGACGGCTTGGGGCGCACCGAGATCGGTCGGGGGGTCGACGTCGGCGCCAGCACTGAGACGGCTGCGATTGCGTTAGCCACCAGACTCAGCAAAGCAGGCTTCAAAGTCTCAAGAAAATCTGCGCTTATCACGCCCCCTCCTCGCCTAGCCAACGAATGCCCCGCAGGTGCCCCGGCTAGGCCAGGGGTCTCGGCATCGACGGCCACGCGGCCAGGTGGGCGACAATTTTTATCCAGAGCTGCATTGAGATAGGTCGAGCGAGCTGCTCTGACTTCCAATTTAGTCAAGCTTGTCCCCCAGGCTCGCGTTTTGGCAAATACGGGGCTTAGACCAGCAGTCACCTATGGACAGGTGGCCCCAAGGCCTCAGCCCAAGCACGCTTCTGAAGCTTCGGAGCCCGGTTGCTGCCCTTACTGGTCACAAGAAGCCAGGTGGGGGCCCAACCATTTGCATAAGATTAGGCTCTGAAGACAAAGACGGTCACATGATCCCGGTGAGAATGCAGGTTTCTATTTCTCGGCTGGAGATTGCGCCCCACATACTTGGGCGAATGCGAGACATCGAAATTATCTGGCTGCAGACGGTTGCCCATGTGCAGGCCTCTGTCAGGCACTGGGCTTGAGTAAATGATCTGACCGGCGCTGCCACCGCTTGCCCCATGGACCTCCACTGGGAACCCCTTGGCCCAGTTGCCTGGCAGATCCCAGAGGAGAGACTCTTAACCGCATCGAGCTCGCTAGAGAGCACCTGTTTAACTTTGAAATCAAGCAAGCGCTAGATCACGAATGCTGGGCCCGCGCTGCCAGCTCCCACGCGCGCGGCAATGGCGCGCAGGACGGAGTTGATTCCGCAGTTTCGAAGAGACACCTGAGTTCCCCTTGTCGTCGGAAGGAATATAACAAAGCAGGCGTCTTAAGAATGGCGGCCACGGGCGCGCGGCGGCCAGCAGCGAGGCGCTTTGGCAGCGAAAGCCGCGGGGGGGCATTAAGATTGGCCCTCCCCACTGCTGACTCCCGCCGCTGCCATTGCCCACGCTGCTGCGCCCGCCTCGCCCCCCCGGGGCCGCCCCAGGCCCCCTCGGGCCCCTCAATCTTCAGACGACCCCGATGGGGGGCCCTTTGGAGGAGGAAAAGCCGCTCTCTGAGGTGGAGGAGGACCCGCCCGGCGAAGAGGCCGACCAGGCCCTGCTCCATGGCGCCCCGCCGAGCGCGGAAGCACGGGGTTCCCACCCGCGCCCAGATGCAAAGAGTTTGAAGGAACGCTGTTCCACGGGACCTGGGAACGCCGCTGTAATCACGAGCTCCCGCACGAGGGCTTGCACTGGGATCTCCAGGCTGAAGCGCGCGAGGGGCCCCAAGATGAACCGTGATTCTGGCTCCACGGGCTCGCGCTTTTGGCTTGGACTGTTGACGTTCAGCACCTGGAGATCCAGGGAATTGAGGAGCTGCCCCCCTCGCTGCAAGGAGATAAGTTCTGTCTCCCCCCCCCAGGGGGGCAACATCGGAGGCGATGGGCCTGGAGGCCCCAACTCGCCCGACCCCGGGCTTCGGAGATGCGGGCGTGGGGGGTGGGGGGGGCATATTCCGCGATGGGAATGTCTTGGGGTGGGCTCATAGACCCCCCCCCCCACACCCACCAGCAAACGGCCGCCCCCTCGTTTGAATTTGCGGGCGTATTTCCGCCCAGCGCAGCGAACCAAAGGTGGCATCAGTTTTATCGGTGGTAACGATTCGGTGGCCAGCGGGATAAACTCGGGGCCTCGCTCCCACCACGCTGAGATGTTCATTGTTTGGGGCTTGTTATGGCAAGAGTGCGAGGACCGTCGCGCGCGCGGTCAAGGTCAAGTCACATGGGCCCGCGCCCGATGTTCGCCAAAGCCGTTTCGAGTTTGGGGCGGCAGATTTTGTGGCGGATGAGCTAGCTGAGGAAGCGGCCATTGAAGTCCAACTCTCTGGATGGGCGTTCGCAGACATTGCCCGAATAGTTGCACTCAGCAGGAGAGTCCAGAAGCATATTCTGACGACACACCATATTGCCATGCATTTTGCGCAAATTCATGGCGCCAGCAGTGCTGAGGACAGGAAGCGTGAAGACAATAGGAGGGGACTTGCCAAGCGAGAGGCCCTTGCTGAGCTCGCGGCGTCCACCTCGCATTGTCGGGTTGAGTGCCCTAGCACAGCTTTCAAGTGCTCCAAATGCCTCACGCCTCCGACGGGGACAGCGGAGAGTTGGCTCCGCTCAGAGTGCCCTAGGCCCCCTGTTCGAATTCATTTTCCCACCGTCACCTCCAGAGATTCAGAGACGTGTTCTGGTGCCGTGAGTGTGGGTCTTTTAACAAATTTTCCAAGTCCTGTTCCGAGACGATCTCAGAGCACGGGGGGGAAGTTCTGAAAGCGCTGGAAGCTGGAAGACCCCCGTGGGATGTCAAGGCCTGGCCCGAGCCTGAAGAGGAGGAGGAGCGAGCAGCGAGCAGCGAGCAGCGAGGAGGAGCGAGGAGGAGCGAGGAGGAGCGAGGAGGAGCGAGGAGGAGGAGGTCCGTAGCCCTGTTGGCTCAAGCTCGCCGTGCGTTGGCGCAGGATGCGACCTTCCTGGCAAGGGGGAAGGACGGCCCCCACGATGTCCCCTCGTTGTTTTGTCGGACAAGGTTTTCTTCCATGTTGTGAGCTCCTACTGGGGAATAGCCGCCGCGTCTCCGCCAGGAAAGCCCCTGGCCCCCCATCCATGGTGCCTCCTCCTCGCCGCGAGCCTTGGGCGCGCAAGCCCACTGGCGAGCTTCGCCCGTGGCATCGCGACACCACCTAGCAGCGGCGGAGGTCCCAGCAAGGCACCGTGCCCCCACTACGGTTGCAATCAGAACCTGCCCCGTTATTGGTTCTGCGAGCACTGTCTCATGCCGTTGTCCTACGTGGAGCCCAGCGCGCCACCCGCGCCTGGAGGTGCCCGGGCGCGCCTGCCGCTCCTCGGGTCGCCCCCCTGCCTTCGGCAACGACCACCTTCGCAAGGTCACGGGCAAGCGCGCAGGTGAACCAGCGCCTGCTCAAGACGGCCCGGTGGGGAGGGTGGCCAGGGCGGCAAGGTGGGCAAGGGGAAGGGTATGGACGCTTTGGCTTGATGGCCTAAGGCCCCAGGGCCGCTCTCCGGGGCCGCACCTCCGAGGCAGCATGGCCAACAGCTGCGCGAGTCGGGTTGCTTTGAGCCCCAGCCGCCCTGGGCGAAGTACGCCGAGGACGACATCTCAGCGCTGCAATAGCTCGAGCAGACTTTTCGCAAGTTGGGCGACGTGCAGCAGGCCCACTGGCACGCCTCGCACGTGCGCCATCTTCAACGAGCGCTCGTGCCCAAGCCCTAGTCGGTGGGAGCGGCCCGGCACGCCGTGCGGGAGGCAAGGAAGGCGTTGGACAAGAAGCTCACGATCGCCGACCAGCTCAAGCAGCAGACCCTGCAGGCGGAGCAAGCGGCCACCCAGGCTCCGGCAGACTGAGAAGTGCCAGTCCAATTGCCGCAAGGGCGCGCGAGCGCCGGCGGCGCCCCACCGCCTCCGAGTGCCCCCACGGCTACCTCGCCCATTTCGGCGGCCAGGCATGGCCTCAGCCTGGAGCGATTGCTGGATGAGGAGTCCCCGATCGAGATCTGCGCATATGACGACCTCTTCGGCCTCGAGGCAGCGGGGGCGGAGCTTTCGGAGGCCGAGCGCGAGGCGGTGGCGCACCGCAAGATTGAGGTCGAGCAGACCATCAAGCGCGCCGTCCTGGAGTCGTTCGGCGCGGTCAAGTCGCGAGCCAAGGAGCTAGCGGAGGAGCAGCGCGCCTCCTGCGGCGCGGACACACCAGGCGGCTCAGGCGCGGCCTCTGGCCCAGAAGGGCCGCCTCGGGCCCCGCCCGCCACGGCTCCACGAGCACCCGCCCCGGCTGCGTTGGCGAGGGCCAGCGACTTGGCAGCCGCCTGTCGGGGCGAGAGCCAGGCCGCGGAGGTCGAGTGATCCGCGGAGGCTCACCCGCGGCTCTCCGCCAGAGCCGCGCAGGCTCCCGAGGCGCGGTGGAGTCCGAGGCCCCCCAGCCGACGGCCTAGCAGGGCTATGGCGCGGTCGACGGCAACCCCCTCTGCTGCGAGTGCGGCCACTTATTCTTGGACGCCACGCTCACCTGCCCTGGGAGCACACAGAGACACCCCTTCGGAAGAAACCCCCGGTTGGCCAGCGCCCCCGCGGCGCTGGGACCGCCAAGCGGGGCCCTCTGGGAGTGAGTCGGCGCGGGTAGGACAGGCCGACGGCGCCACATGTTCGCGTCGCGGCGGTTCTAGCGATGCCTCCTCCAACGTGTGATTCCTCTCTCGGTTGGTGGCAGCCCGTGGTTGCCCCTCGCTGGCCCGGCAGTCCGCACCCCAGCCAACCCCGGCGGCGCTGTCTGGCGGCGTTCCCCCCCGAACCACGTGCCTGCAGCGTGCGCGCACAACTCGTCGTCAGGGTCAACGAGCGCGCCGCGCTCGGCTTCCCGTCATTTGGCCAAGCCGCCTTCGGCGGGAGCGACTGGCGCCACTTCGCCGTCTGCGGCCCCATCTGCTTCGACCGGCACGCCCTCTTTGCGCATTAGCCTGGCTGCGCAGGCCAACCTCCGCCCTCGCTCCCAGGCTGCCGCCGGTGATCCTGCGCGGCAACAGGCAGCAGCCGGCGATCAGCGCCAGCTGCCAAGGAGGAGGAGGAGGAGGAGGAGGAGGACGAGGAGGAGGAGGAGGAGGAGGAAGAGGAGGAGGAGGACGACGACAAGGAGGAGGAAGGGAGGAGGAGGAGGAGGAGGAGGTGGTAGAGGAGGAGGAGGAGGAGGGGAGGAGGAGGGGAGAGGAGGAGGAGGAGGAGGAGGAGGAGGAGGAGGACGACGAGGACGAGGAGGAGGAGGAGGAAGAGGAGGATGAGGCGGAGGAGGAGGAAGGGAGGAGGAGGAGGTGGTAGAGGAGGAGGAGGACGAGGCGGAGGAAGAGGACGATGAGGACGAGGAGGAGGACGAGGAGGAGGAGCAGGAGGAGGATGAGGAAGAAGAAGAAGCGAGGAGGAAGAGGAAAGAGGAGGAGGAAAGAGGAGGAGGAGGACGAGGAAGAGGAGGAGGAGGAGGAGGAGGAGGAGGAGGAGCAAAGAGGAGAAGGAGGAGGAGGAGGAGGAGCAGGAGTGCACCGTACAAAGGGACTTCCTGCTCCCCCGCGTCTTGCGGGAGGTTTTTGTGAAGCTTCGGGCTTTGATGAACTTTAATGGGGGACCGTCAATTCAACTACTCATGCTGCGAAACCCCTCCCCGGGAAGACGTCGTCGTCGTCGTTGTCGTCAACGTCGTCGTCGTCGTCGTCGTCGTCGTCGTCGCCGCCGCCGTCGTCGTCGTCGTCGTCGTCGGCGTCGGCGTTGTCGGCGTCGGCGTCGGCGTCGTCGTCGGCGGCGCCGGCGCCGGCGTCGTCGTCGTCGTGGTCGTCGTCTTCCTCGTCCTCGTCCTCGTCGTCCTCGTCGTCTGGGATTTTTTCCCTACCTAGGCTCTGCCTAGAAGGGTTCTTACTCACTATGCTTAAAGGGCCGGGCAGTGTAAATCGCCCCAGGCGGTTCCCCCGGCATCCGCCCCGCGGTTCGTCCAGTGACGTTCCTTTAGCTCAGCGTTGCTTATCTCATCTTAGCTTGGCTTATTTCATACTAGCTTAGCTTAGCTTCATCTTAGCTTTTCTTCACGGCAAAACAGGTTCAAACCAGCCACCACCAACGTCGCCTACGGCGAGCGCGCGGGCGCGGCGAGCGAAAATCGATGGGCGCAGGGCGCCGAAAAATGCCGGCTAAGCAGAGCAAGAGGAGGAGGAGGAGGAGGAGGAGGAGGAGGAGGAGGAGGAGGGGGAGGAGGGGGAAAACCCCTGGAGCGCTCACACGCACTCCAGGTCAGCGACCTGGCAAGGCGGCTCAAGGAGCGTAGTCGGAAGATCCCCGTCTGCGTGGAGAACTGCGCCGGCAACAGCTTTTTGTAAAGCCGTGCCTAAAAGTCCCCACTAACAGTGCAAATATCCGCTGCTCCCCTGCGGACGCGACCGTGTAGTCCTCGTGCTTTTTCTCGCGCCAAAGCCGGTACCAACCAGATGGCTTGTGCCCCCCATCTTCCATACTTTTCGGCACCCAAACATAGCAACCGTCCCAATCCAGTTTCGTGAACTTCGTGGTATGTGTCGTTGTTTTCATTCTCTGCGCTGGCTAGATACCTGCCCCCTCTGTTACTAGCTCCCTGTCGTGGTTGTCCGGTCCGTGTTAAAGGAGACACAACCGTCACATCACAAAACAACGGACGGCCAGAAGCGACATTCAGCCCAGGCACCACGAGGTCGAGATGTCTCCGATCGTCAATTGGGACTGGTACGTTTGTGCGTGCCAATTGCCGTTCTACATCGCGATCCGGGATGGACCCTCCAGCTTCGACCAAAACTTGGCGCCATCCCGCAACTACCTCCGTGTGTCTTGTATTGAGGCGTCCCCCCTCGTTGGACCCAAGCCTGGCGTACCCATGCGGATCTGGGCCATCGAACACAACAGCGATACCCAACCGTCTGCGCACAGCACACAAAATCAAATCGTTTGGGAATGTCAGCGCAATAGTTTTTGGACACGTTGTGAGCCATGTATTCGCGTACGGACCTTGACAAGACAATAGCCGAGCCTTGCCTGTTGACACCGCATTCACACGTCGATTCCGTGCAGGGAGTGACCGTCGTAGGACGTCTTGTGTACTCTTTTCCATAGCATCGGACGCATGAAATTGCCATCCGTGCTGCCACTCCCCTAATTCCAAAGGGTCCTCTGGTGGTTCTGGCGGGCGCGCGCCAGCAGCGAGAGCCCCCCAAGTTGGCCGACCTGTCCACCCTCCAGCATCGCACGTACGGCCGGCGAGCTCAGCTTGAACAAGGCATGGTGGACCAATCATGTTACTTCCATCGGCTGTCGCGTGGAGATTGTCCAGATGGTACATCATATGTCGTGCAAGTGTTGGGAACCGGGTAGTGAGGCCAGGCAACGCATCTGCCCAACTCGCCCAATATGCCGCAGGAGCTGTCTGCGCAGAGTTGCGTAACCCCAGGTCCCCCAAGCGGAGCGGGAGTCGAGCCTGCATCACCCGACGTTGGTAGGCAATCCCATGCAATTCCATGTTCCATTGCGTCTGTTCTGATATACCGAAAATCGTTCTGAACGTACGCAAAATACTTGCATCATTGGCATCCCCGACTCCACGAACCCGGGCAGGCGGGAGAGTGCGAAGCAAATGGTTGATACGTGGGACTGCACAGAAATAAAGCACCAACCATGCGACTTGAAGAGAGGGGAGCTGAGGTATCCATTGAAGTAGCTTCTCCCTCTCGTCAGCCAGTTTGGTAGTATGTGCAGCGATGAAGGCATCAGTGCCGAGGGGCGTACCCAAGACCTTGATACCTCGCTCTTCTTCTGGTCGGTCCGATTTCCACGCATCGGGTACATCTGCAGCAAAATCGGCGGGGCATGGTTGCACCGTATTGCCCCACACTGCAAGTTTGCCCAAATTGACATCAATACGGCAAGTATCACGGAGCACGTGTCGTGCCAGTTCCAATACATGGTGCACTTCATCCGGGTCACACACCACGTAAATACCGTCTAAGTCTGCGATAATCTCTGCTCCAGGGGTTAGGTGGTCGTGGATTTGTAGTAAGGCAGGGTGCAGAGCCAAATTGAACAGGGCGGGCATGAGCGCGTCACCTTGTTCCCCCCCATCGCCTTGCAGTATTAGATGCGAGGTACTTTCGTCATCTGTCCAGAGGAACTTCGACCGGCTCCCGTACCACAGTCTTACAAAGAGTATGATGCTACGTAAGCGTTGATGGCGTAGGATCTCTTGGAAGATTTTGGCCCTGCTTATGTGGTCAAACGCGCCGAAGGTACGTAAGCAGATGAATTGCAGAGTCTGTGCCGCTCCGAGTGCTGAGTCCAAAGTTGTATGGTTGAACTGCTTGTCTGAACTCCGCTTGATACTGCCGGGCTAAAGTTTTAGCCAGCAGACGTCGGAAAGTATCGCCTGCAGCAATGCCCCGGATTTTGTTGCTGTCCTTCTTGAGGGCGCTCAATACCGATTGTTGCAAAGCATCTCGGATTGCTTCTGGGATGCGTGCTTGGGCAAGGCGTTCAGCAACATCGCACAAGGATTCGAAAGACACATCTTCTTCCAAACATAGTTTGAAATTCTCGTATCGCCACCCCCACAGACCTGCGCTCAAACCACGGCGGGACCGTCGTAAGACATCTGCAAAGATTTGCCTGTCTAGGCGCACGTCAGCGGTCGGTTGCAGATTGTGGAACTCGTCTGGAGCATCTTCGGCAGGCGCGGAAGGACGTAGTTCGGGATTCCGCAGCTCTTGCAACGTCTGTGGCGTGCCAGGCGCGAGCCCTGGGGAGTTCAATAGTCGTGCAGCGTGGCTGAGTTCGCCCAGTTGGACCAGCTCCGTTGCTTTGTCAATGCGACTTTGATCTAGAGGCGTCGCGCGGATCTGTGGCCGTAGGCCGCTTTGTCTAGCGGATTCCAAAAGTTTGTCCCAAGCACTGTGGTCGAACCAATGGATGCAGCGTTGGAGTTCACGCTGCCCCGCTGTCCCCCCGCGCGGTGTACGATGGAGCAGCAGTTGAGGCAATAAGATAAGTAACGTCCAAGTTTGTCTGCACATCTCTTCGGCTTCGTCATTGGCCTCCCACTGTATATGCGCATTTTCGATCGCCCGCAATACTTGCGTCAAGATTCTACCAAATGGCTCTCGGATGCAATGTGGCACTGACTTAAGAGTCGGCACGTGCCCATAAGTTTGTTGGCCAGTTACTTTGCGATAGTGGGAGTGCCCAGAGTCCTCCGTCACAAGCTCACCTAGATAATCTTGTAATCGTATGTCTCGGATATGTTGCCAACCATCTGGCACGTTAGCGACGAAGCGTCTGGTACGGTGCGACGGTGTCTCGGGTGGCGCTGCCCCAGGTCGCGCAGGTTGTTCACCCTGCGGACGTGGTCCCTGCCGGTCGGAAATCGGAGAGCGGACGGAGATAAATTGATGTAGTGTGTGAGATAGGTAATGGCGGACGTGTGGTGTGTCGACCAACGCAACGGCAGTCGTAGCAAATGTTGATTCCAAGAATATTGCGTCGGGATCAGACCAGATTGCTTGGTCCAGGATGTATCTTTGCACCCCCAGGCGAATCTGTAGGGGCGGGCTGGGCGTTTCGCATGAGACTTTCGCACCAATGTACGACCTTGACTTGCAATCAGCAACAGCTTCACGGAGTGAAGGCGGGCCGTTTTAAGAATGTGGTTCTCGCCGCAGCGCCGCGCCCATGCGTCTTAAAAGTTCGCAGCAGGTTTTCAAATGGAGGACCTGTGGTTCCCTACCAAGGCTCTGCCTAGAAGGGTTCTTATTCTATATGCTTACAGGGGCCGGGCAGTGCAAATCGCCCCGGGCGGTGCCCCCGGCATCAGCCCCGCGGTTCCCCCAGTTGCGCCCCCTGGGTTCACCCAGCTTAGCTTAGCTTAGCTTATCTCATCTTAGTTTAGCTCTTAGCTTAGCTTAGCTTAGCTTAGCTGCGCCTAGCCTAGCTTAGCTTAGCTTAGCTTATCTCAGTTTAGCTTAGCGCAGCGCAGCATAGCGCAGCGCAGCATTAGCACAGCATAGCATAGCATAGTATAGCCAAGCATAGCATAGCATAGCTTAGCTCAGCATAGCATAGCATAGCATGATATAGCATAGGATATCATATTCCAGAATAGCATAGCATTGCTTAGCATAGCACAGCGCAGCATAGCATAGCACAGCACCGCGCACCATAGCATAGCATAGCGCAGCATAGCATCGCATAGCATAGCATATCGCAGCATAGCATATCATAGCCTAGCATAGCATAGCATAGTGCAGCATAGCATAGCCTATCATACCATAGCGCAGCATAGCATAGCATAGCATAGCATAGTGCATCATAACATGTCATAGCATAGCCTAGCATAACACAACGCAGCCTAGCGTACCCTAGCATAGCATAGCATAACATAGCGCAGCATAGCAAAGCATAGCATAACATAGCATAGCGCAGCATAGCATAGCATAGCATAGCATAGCATAGCATAGTAGCAAAGCAGAGGCAAAGTAACAGCAGCAACGGCATAGCAAAGCACAAGCAACGCAACTACGACGATGAGGAGAATGAGGAGGACGGCGTTTACCGCTCCTACTAATGTTGCTTTCCTAGAGGCTCCAACTCCTAGGTAGGGTCGCACTGGGATAATTTTGGACAGCGTGGCGCTCCGCCAGGTTTGGCCCACTGCGCTCCAGGCGACACGCCGTCCACTTCTCGGGGCCGCAGGCATCAAAGTCCCGAGCCTCTCTGAGCCTCCCGCCCCGCTGAGCGGAGCGACACGCCATCCGCTCGCAAGGCACAGCGTGCCGCCAGGGCCGCCATCGCGACACGCCATGCCAATGTCCTCGACCGTAGACTTCTCGGGAGTCGCGTGGTGAAAGATGACAGGCCTTTTGGTGGGTCCAAGTCGAGGCCCTTCTTGGGCCCCTCGTAGGGACCTCGGATCCGACTTGGGGCGAGTCTGGTTGGGAGTCCCCTTGGTCCGTCTAGGACGTTCGTAGGGTCGAACAGGTGAGAAAGCTAAACGCCAGCAAGCAGAGGTTGCTTCTGCGATTTGGGACTCTTGAGCTGACCCCCAGGGCCCAAAAGACGTTCCAAGAGGTCCCCGATTGGCATGTTGGAGCTCTGACCTCCCAACAACGATTCCAGGGCCTCGGAAAAAGGTCACTTCTCGAATTCCAGTGCTGAGGGCTTCTGCAAGGGGCTAGGGGACACTCCGCCACCTGCTGTGGACACGTGGACGGACTCGTGCCGAACAAGTTCCTGGGCGGCAGTGTGTTGGCCTGGGTAAGTGTCGGGGACACGTAAGACTCGAGTACGCCGGAACTCGGGTCTACCGACGCTTTGTGACGAGCGCGTCCCGAATTTTGACGGTCCAGTGTCCGTGGGATGTCTGCAGAGGGAGTTCGCGTCAAATTTGAGATTGGGTCTCGTCATTTTCATGATGGCCCCTTCAGGCCAACCTGAGTCCCCCGAACCCGAGTCTTTCTTCTCCCCTGGAAAAGTCGGCCACGCGCAGAGCGGAGGAGGGGGAAGGGGGCAAGGCTTCCTAGAAGCACCCCTGCCTCTCAGAAGGCGCGGGCCTGCTCCGTAGATGGAGTGGCGGCATCTTCTTGAGCAGCAGCCCCCTCGCAAGAAGCCTTCCCTCCCCCGGGCCCGAGTATCACGTCGCCCCGAGAGTGGCGATCCCCGCTGCGGCAGAGGAGGGGCCCTCCTGCGAGGCTGCCTCCTCTGCGCCCCAAGGTCCGCAGGCAAGGCTGTTAGAGGGCGAGCGGCCCTGACAGCCTCGGACAGCAGCTTCTTGCCGGCAGCCGTCTGGCTCCAGGTCAGAGCGGAGCGCTCGCTCTGGGACTGCACCGACGCATTCTCTCCATGGCGGTGGCGATGACGATGACGTCACCAGCAGGAGAAAAGACGCCATAAACATCAACTTCTGGCGCTCCGCGCAGATGCTTGGATCTGCGCTGGACCCGCCTCCCTGGCGCGCGGGGCGCGCCAGGGGCGGCGCCAGAGGCGCCGCCGGGGGGAGCTCAGCGCGGATGCAAGAAATCCGTGCGGAGCGCCAAAAGTTTATGCTTATGGCGTTTGTCTTCTTCTTCGAGTCACCGTTATCGCCATCGTAATCGTCAGCATCAATGAAGACAGGTACCCGGGCAGGGATGGCCAGCAGACGCCCGACGGCCTGCTGGCCCTTGCTGCTCGTCCTCGCGCCTGCGGCGGAGGCCAGCAGGCTGACCCTGGCGAACGCCACGCGGGGCCGCCTGGGGGCCGCCGCCACCGGCGCGAACGCCAGCGTCCGCCTGAGGGAAATGAACAATGACATAGACATAGAAACTCGGAGTTCCGCGCGGATTGCTCGGATCGACGCTGGACCCCCCTCCCTGGCGCGCGGAGTGCGCCAGGGGGCCCCAGCGCCGATCCGAGCAATCCGCGCGAACCTCCGAGTTTCTATGTTTAGGTCGTTCTTCGTTCCCCTGTGAGGGCCGCCGCCGGCGGCGCGAACGCCAGTGTCCGCCTCAACGTGACGCAGGCCGCGCGCGTGCGCGAGCGGAGGGACGCCGAGGCGGCGAGGCAGGCCGTGGCCTTCGACAGCCTGCGCGGCGCCTGCGCCGAGTGCCACCTGGAGGAGGGTGTGCACGGCCGCTGCTGCTACGCCTACCCCTCGGCGGGGAGCCGCTGGCACTACTCGGCCTGGGGCTGCTACGAGGCAGGGCCCAGTGCGATCTCCCGATCCGATGCGATGTCGATGCCGATGGCCGCCGATTCCGACTCGATTCGGCTTATTGGAGGCCTACTGACCTGCCGATTCCCGCCGATTCGACTTTCCCCGACTCGGCTGCCGAGTTCCGCTGAGCCGAGTCATTTCGATCGCGGATCCGGCTCATCGATTCGATTCTGGGGGCACCTGTACCAGGGCATGGTCGCCTGCTCCGTCAACTACGCCACCTGCTGCCACTGTGCCCTCGGCTGTGGGCACGACTCCTGCGGCTACCCGGATCCCTGCGTCGAGCCGTGAGCGGTTCGCCGCGCGGAGTGGCGGCAGCCTCCGTGGTCCCCGGCACGGCGGCCCGCGCGGCATGTTGGAGGAGGAGGAGGAGGAGGAGGAGTCCCGAGGCCTGGTCTCGGGGGGGAGGCAGTCGAGACAGCGGCGGCTTTCCTTGGGTTTTCTCTTATGCTTGGGTTGCCTGGAGGCGTCCTCGTCGCTGCGGCTGGGCCCGCGTCAAACAAAAGCAAGTCAGCGCTGGCCTCGGGAGGTGTCCAGGGACTTGATCTTAAACGGAACTGGGCCGGGCGGGGCAGCCGCCGTTGTCTCAGTTGTCCCGCCTCCGATGGCCCTGGTTCTCAGGCACACTGGGGCATCCCACGCATGGAATGGTGGGGCACATGGAAGAAGCTCACGTTCGAGTGCACGTTGTATCGGATGGCTGTGGGCCCAGTCCGCCACCGCGCTTGGGTGGCAGGGCAGAGGCCTCTTGCTCAAGGAAGCCAGATGAGCACCCCCAAGAGGGCGCCAAGGGACCACAATGTCCCAAGCTGTGCTTGCACTTACAGTCGGGGCCCTGAAGAAGGAACCCTTTTCGTTAGGGAGGGGCTCCGTGTTCCTTAATTGTTTCGCAGCTTGCTTTGGAATTTCCTTAGGTTTTCGATACGAAATCGAAGTTCAACTTATGGAAAATAGGGGCCTCGTTCCTTCTTTAGGGTTCCTTAGGTCAACGCCCCGACGGTATGGGTCCCCATGCTTCTGAATAAAGGGCTCGTCTGCGGGCCCGGCGGCCCCGAGCTCGTCCGTCGCCGCACCACCTATGTTTACAGAGCTCCCACCACGAAGTCCACTGCACAGGATGCACCGCATAGCGCGCACCACGGAGCACACACCACGTAGTTTGCACCGCATGGCGTGCACCACGCAGATTGCACCACGTAGCCTGCACCACACAGCTCACACCATGTGGCTCGCATCACGTAGATTGTACTGCACGGCTTACTCGACATAGTTTGCACCACATAGTTTGGATCACATAGTTTGCACCACGCAGATTGCACCACGTAGATTGCACCGCATAGCTTGCACTACGTATATTGCACCACATAGCTTACTCCGCATAGCTTGGACCACACAGCTTGCACCACGCAGTTAGCACCACATAGATTGTACCGCATAGTTTGCACCACATAGCTTGCATTGCATAGCTTGTGCCACATAGCTTGCACCGCATGGTTGCACCGCAAAGCTTGCACATCCAGAGTATAAAAGTCACCGTTGGGGGTCCACGCTGGACATCATTTGATGCTATGTTTTTGGAAGATTACAGTGTTCTCGCCTTTGCACGCTTCTGGGGCTTCAAGACGGCCTGAGAGGCCCAAAAGATCACTGCAAGACGGTCCAAGACGCGTCAAGAGGCCCCTAAGACGGGCCTTTTGGGGCGGCGGCGGATGTCTTTGGAAAACCGGTCGATTGGGATTACATTGCTAAGTTGGATGATTTCGATGCCCATGTGATCTCGCTTGGGACTGCCATCGGAAAGCCGTTCTCAAAACCACCGCAAGCAGACCCCGAAGGCAGGGCTCATCTCACCCAGAGAGTTGTGGATGTTCTGCGGCAGGATCTCGAGGTAGTGTATCGGGTATGTCTAGTGCACCTTCAGGATTACGCACGTGTCTTTGGGCTACACGCTTCCCGAGCAGCGTTGCGCTCGCAAGTGCACGGCGGTACCCATAGATGTGTGAGAGGATGTGTTGGATATTGCACGGTGATGTGTCAATTGTTGTCGTGTAGTGACAGTTTTGTGTTTCCTTGGAGAACAACTATTATCTCGAGGAGCTCATTGCCTCATAGCTTGTTTGTGTGTGTGTGTCCCCAGTGAGTCCTTCGTTCTCAAACAGGGTGCCGTACTTACGGTATGAAATCGTGACGCAGTGTTGGCGTTGGTGCGAGAGCCACCTGCGCTTGCACATCGTCTCATCGAAGGATTAGTGCTCACCCATCTCGTTGGAGTTGTCTGGTTGTTCGACCCTCGGCAGCTTGAGGCAGCAAGCCTACGGGGTTTCAACATGCCGCGTTCACACAGATTCCACTTACGTCTTTCTAGCTTTCTCATAGATTATCTTCTGCATGCCTGTACCCTGCGAGATTGTCTCCGATGCCTCGACGGCCCTTTCGGCTGAGAAAGCCGCAGCCGTGCTACCGCTGACCTGGCAGCAGGCGGTCCTCGGATTGGCGCCCGCGCGGCTACCTCTGCCAGGAAGGGCAGCAGCTGCGGAGTCGGCAGCTCCTCCGAGTGGATACAGAGTTGTTGGCTTGCATGCGAGTGCGAATCGCCCCTGCATGCCTGCAAACGAGCTTTGCAAACAAAAAACGCACGGACTTTCTGGGGCCCTGAGTGGGGCACTTCGAACTCGCATTTCGAGCCTCTGCCCCAAGATGAGCCCTGAGACTGCCAGCAGGCCCCCAAGAAGCCCCAGAAGATTTCCAAGAGGCCCAGTAGAGGCCCCAACAGGCCCCCGAGAGGCCCCAAGACACCCTGAAACCAGTTCCAAGATGCTTCCGAAAGGCCTCCCAAGAGATCCCCACGGGCATTCACATGGCCTCTGACATACAACCCAGGCGAGGTGGCGGGATAGGCCAAAGGCCATTCGACCTGGGCCAGCACGGAAACGGAAAGAGTGCCTCAGGAATTTGCCCGAGATGGTTCATGGCACCCTTCGCTCTTGGGAGCCTTGGTGTGAAGAGCTTGTTACGTCGCCGCACTCCGTTGGGAGCCCTGGCGTTCACAGATTTTTACATTGCCGCTCGCTCTTGGGAGCCTTGGTGTGACGAGCTATTTACGTCACCGCGCTCTTGGGAGCCTTGGTGTCAAGAGCTTGTTACGTCACCGCTCGCTGATGGGAGCCATGGTGTTCTGGAGCGTCTCTTGGGCCTCGTCGGGGTTTTCTCGGGGCCCTTCTCGAGCCCTTTCGGGAGCCCTTCTAGGGCAATTTTGGGCCATCTTTGGGCCCTTTTGGGCCGTCTTGGGGCGTCTTGCAGGCCTTTGGCCGTCTTGGTGCTCGATTGGGGGCCTCATGGGGCCCTCTTAGGAGCCTCTTTGGGCCCTCTTGGGGCTGTCTTGGGGCCGTCTTGGGGCCCTCTTGTGCCGTCTTGGGGCCCTTTGGGGCCGTTTTGGGTCCCTCTGGGGCCGTTGGACAGTTTTCGGGCCCTTTCGTGTGCCTCTTGGGCAGTCTTGGAACGATATTTGGAGACTCTTGGGCCGTTTTGGACCGTTCTTGGCACGAGAAGACAAGAGCCCAGAAAGCCTGGACAAAACCATAGAACAATCCATAGTTTCTGCCCCTGGGGGCCCTCTCGGGGGGCCCTCTGGGGGGCCTCTGGAGCCGTCGTGAGGCTCTCTTGGAACGTCTGGAGGCCATCTGAGGCTCTCTTGGGGCCGTCTTGGTGCCCTCTTGGGCCGTTTTGGAGCCCTCTTGGGCAGTCTTGGAGCCCTTGGGCCGCGTCATTCGAAAAAGATTCGGAAACGGGCCATGAGAGCCACCCGGAAGCCGCGTCATTCGAAAAAATATTAGGAAAGCCGGCCATTACGTCACGTCCTTGCCCGCCTCGCCCCTCCCTTGGACCCCTCCCTTAAGGGCTTCGCCCCACCAGAACGGCATCATTCGTATCTCGCTCTTCCCGTTACCTGCTTGGCACGGGGCAGGAAAGTGCATTCAATTATGTAATCGCTCGAGATCGTCGGCGTGTTCATTATTCCTCATCTTACGTCACCTCTTCCCCTCGCCCTTGTCGCATCCTGGGGGAGTCTTGGGGCCCTATTAGGCCGTCTTGGGGGACTCTCGGGCTGTCTTCGGGCCCTTTTTAGCCGTCTTGGGGCCCGTCACCCGTCATTAGAGATTCCAAGGCGGCGATGGCCAGACCCCCTAGGGCCACACATGCCAACCCCCTCACACTCCCCCTAGTTTCATTCCTCTGGCTAGCGAATCGCACGCTAAGCGCACTTTCCCTCATCCGCGGCCCGCTGTTGCCTACAAAAGGGGTGCTGGCGTGCCAGATGGCAGCCTGTTATGAACTTTCCAACAGGTTCCCCGTGGCCTCCGGGCTAACCCCGCCGGCCACAAGAAAGGCACCTCAAAAATGTTCTTCCTCCTCCTCCTCCTCCCTCCAAGACGCCCATGATGGCCCCCAAGATGGCTTCCAAGACGGCCAAGATTGCCCAAGATAGTCTTCAAGACGGTTGCCGAGACAGCCAAGGTGTCACCAAGAATGCCCAAGATGACTGCAAGACGGCACTTGATGACCTCCTCGCGTCCCAGGAGGCCCTCCAGACGCCCCCAGAGAACTCCATTAGGACCTCCAGGAGGTCCGTAGCCATTTTGGCTCAAGCGGTTGTGGCCCAGGCCGTTGCCGCAGCAGGCCTTTGCTGGCCTGCGCTCCTGGAGGGCCGGCTTGCTCCGAGCGCTGCCTGGCCGCTTGCCCTGCCCAGCCCTGGCCGCCGCGCGGTGGCCTCAGCGGGCGGCACGGGCCAGACGCTCGGCGGCCTCCGCAGGAAGTGGCGGCAGGGGCTCTGCTCGAGGGCGCAGTGCCCCCTGCTGCCCGCCCTGCCCCTGACGAGGCCGCCGGCGGCAGCTCGAGGGCGCACCCCCAGGCCAGCCGGCGGGAGCGGCAAGAGGCCACCGGCCGGGCCGCGTCTCCGGCGGGCAGCCCGGAGAGCTGGGCACCGAGCTCGGGCAGCCGCAGCTGGGCGGACGCGTCCGAGAGCCTGTGGGCCACCGCCGGGCGCCGCTGGGCCGCTGGCAGGCGCGCGAGGCCCCCTGACGCCTGGTCCACCGGGGCTGGCGAGATGGCAACATCGCGACACATGCAGGTTGTTCAATGTTGGGGCATGCGGCGAAGCTCGGGGTGGCCAATGATGACGACGACGACGACGATGATGATGAGGAGGAGGAGGAGGAGGACGACGACGACGAGGAGGACGAGGGCGAGACCGATGGCGACGACGATGGCGAGGAGGAGGAGGAGGAGGAGGAGGAGGAGGAGGAGATAGCGAGAGACAAAGTGAAGCATGAGGAGGGATACACCATATAGTAAGATGCGGGCGAGGCAGAAGCGGAGCGTGAGGAAGCGGAGCGGATATAAAAACGATTCAGTGCACACATTGAATTCACAATTGGGGCGTGCGGCTTGTTGTGTTTTGCCACGTTCAGAGGTGAGGCGCCAACAAAAGATGTTTAATGTTTCTTGATTCCTCTCAAGTGCCCAGGGCCACGAACGAAGTACAGGACCACGACGAATAATGCGTTCAACGTGTAGGGCCGCGGGATAGAAGACAAACATGTGTCTTTCGGTCGTTGAACGTACAGGGTGGCGGGGTAAACAAAACACGTTGTTTGTTTTTTCGTTAAACGTTCAGGGCCCTGGTTCGAATCGGTGTGGAAGGGGGTGCTTCCCGCTCCCCCTCGGGCACACACAAACACACGTGCACACACGCACGCACATACGCACGCACACAAACACTCTTTTTGCGTCGGCGGCTAAGCAGGGGGACTGCTCTGGCGATGTAGCACACACCCACACACACACACGCACGCACACACACACACACACACACACACACACACACACACACACACACACACACACACACGCACACGCGCGCTTCCTGGGCAGCGCAGAGGGGCGCCCCCCTCTGGTTCCGAAAGGGGAAGGGTGTGGAATGTAATCCCCCCCACCTCGTTTCCACGAGGGGGGGGAGGGGGAAATTGTCCCAGTCAGGCGACGGTACATCGCGTTCCTTCCAACAGTGAGAATCTTCGATGGTTCCAAACACAAATTACGAGGACATCAACGCAGCGAACCGACGTGAAAGTTACGTCTTGACAACCCCAAATCGAAACAGAGCGCCAGTCTTAGGATCTCAGCACCGCGAACGTGACTGTTGCGCCCTGACAGCCGTACATCGTGCCAAGATACCATGTCTGGGACACCGGCCATACGAATATTTGAAACTGTTGAAAAGTTGAAAGACGAGTACGCGCGGCGTTCAGGCGAGGGCCAAATTATGAAATGAACCGCCATCATCGCTGAAATAATCGCAAGTGATTAAGACGAAAGTGCGCGGCGCCAAGGCGGTAGCCACATTTTGATTGCAAACGTTCGGGACGATTGCGAATGCCGAAGACGAGTGTGCGCGGCGCTATGGCGGGAGACACAGTTTTGAAAACACATACACACACGTGAAAATGTTGCCATTTCAGGATAATAAATGGTGTGTCAGTCTCAGGCGAAACGCCTGGCCCGCCCTGCAGACACGCTTGGGGGTCCGACAGGGAGGAACGTTAGTGTATAAAGAGAAAGGATGGAGGAGGGGGAGAAGGAGGAGGACAAAGAAGGGGGAGGAGAAGGGGGGAGAGGCGAGAGAGACAAGCTGGGTGCTCTCGCGCCGCATCTGACATCCTATCCCTCCCTCCCTCCCACCCCTTCACATTGCGTTGATAGTTATTCTATCTGCGGGCACGTGTCATAGCCGACCTGCAACTCCAGCCAAAAGACCACATCGTGTTATACGCAATTGGAAAAAAAGGAACATGCGTGCACAAAAGGATGAGGTGGCAGGCGAGCAGGAGGATTATCGGCAGGAAAAGGACGAGGATGAATAGCAGCAGCAGGAATTGGAGTGGAAGGAGCTGGACGAACAGAAGGACCAGTGAAAAGGGGAGGAGGAATATTGGAAGGGGGAGGGGCAGGAGGGAGAGGTAGGGGTGTGCAGGAGGAGACGGAGGAGGAGGAGGAGGAGGAAGAGTAAGAGGAGGAGGAGGCGTACCCTCCTGCTTTTGCATGTTCTGACACCGCCTCGCATCATTGAGCAGCCCTTTCGAGGGCGAACGGGCGCCATTTGCGAGGGAACCCAAGCCATCAGCGCAGAGATGCTCAGAGCAAACAAGGCGGAGCCCGAGCGAGGAGCAGCAGCAGCAGGAGCAAGAGGCGAACGAGGAGGAGGAGAAGGAGAGAAGCCGCTGGTCCGACGTGAGGCGTCGTGCGTGCGGGCGCGCGTGGGCCCAGCGGGCCCCGGCCTGTGCTGCAGCCCTCGTGCAGGAGGGTCGTGCTCTCCGGTCCTAGCCATGCATCTGCGAACTCGGACTTCATCGCCGGCAGCGGAGGAGGAGGAGGAGGAGGAGGAGGAGCAGGAGGAGCAGGAGGAGGAGCAGGAGGAGGAGCAGGAGGAGCAGGAGGAGGAGGAGGAGGAGGAGCAGACGAGAGGAGGAGCAGAGGCAGAGGGAGGGAGGGAGGAGGAGGAGGAGCAGGAGGAGCAGGAGGAGCGGAGAGCGGAGGAGGAGGAGGAGGGGAGGAGGGAGAGAGGAGCAGGAGGAGCAGGAGGAGGTCGAGGAGGAGGACAGGAGGAGCAGGAGGAGGAGGAGTAGCAGGAGGAGCAGGAGGAGGAGGAGGAGGAGCAGGA